TTTTTTGATTGATGCTTTGAAATCTTTATAGGCATAGAATGTTTTAACCAATAACTTAATTTGGAAATAAAATGATAAACTAAATATCGGCCTTTGATTGAAATTTTTTCGGATAAATCAATTAAATCAAAATAGATTTTAGAAATTCTATTTACCTGGCTTTTGATGTTTTCTACCCTTTTGTGCAAAACCAAGTCCTCCTCCTCGGTGTTCGCCAACACTGCTCAAACCAATTTGAAAATCAGCCAATGGAAACGCAATTCAACGAGTGCTACTCATACCCAGGGCGAGCGAAACGCAAGCCAAGATCAGCAGCCGCAGCATCGTCGTCGCCATTGTATTCGGTTGCCTTTGCTTTGCTCTCGGTCGCCGCCTTTGAAAAAGTGCAACCGCCAATTTTTCCCGGGCAACATTTATAGTCTGACAACCGAGATAAAATCTCAATTACAGTTTTCAAATCCTGCAGGTTTGTTTTTGTGCGGTTTTGGCGCTCCCAAATGTACTCAGCCCTTATTGCAAAGCCACTCGTCATATTGATTTCTCTTGCGGTGACAAAAAGTCAGATTCAAAAATGCAGGTGCCATCAGAAAATATGTCGATTGATTTTAAACGGGACGATCGAGATAGCACGTGATGATTATTTTGGTAGAAATTCGTTTCTAGAAGTACTTGGAATTTTTTATTGCCATATAGCCAAGCAATCATTACTGCTGCAATATTTCAGTATCTATCTTTTCAATCGAAAGAAAAAGAAATTTTATATATATAGGAGTATAAATTTATAAGTTGAGGCTTTTCCGGCTAAAATCAAATCAATTTTCAAAAGCAGCCTAGAAACCAGAGGCAAATTTCATCCCACACTTTTTAGATGTTTCGCTTTACGTCTGGATGGAAAATCCGATTTCTCTGCCAGAGCACGACAGGCCAATTTTTTTCACGCGTAATTCAATTTTTTCCTCTTTTTCCGCTTCTGGAGCAGCGCTTGCTTTGGCCGCTCTGCCACCGAGTTGCGAGAAGCGAGTTGCGGAGGCAATTATGTTATGTACCGGCGAAAATTCGCGGCTAACCAGGCAGCAAAGTAACGACCAGCGTTGGTCCGTCTATCGCCGATTGACGTGAATAGCCGCAATTTATCGACGCAAACTAAACGTGCGAGCAGAAAACACAACTTGCTCTTGTTAGCGCGGATCGTGATGCAATTTCCATCAAGTTCAACCGCGAATAGGATTTTACTTTTTTGCTGAGTCGAAAATTAACATCTCGGCGATGTTAATAATTAATTTCCAGTAAACCATGTGAATTATTCGATCACTGTCACTTCGAAATAATAAGCAATCAGCAGAAAGTTTTTTTTTATAAATCTACTAAATAGATCATTAACTCTATGAATTTTATGATAACATCAAACATAGACATAAATTTTGTTGTATTACATTTGAACTAAAATTAATTATATCTATAAATGATACAAAGATAAATATAATAGAATTAAACAAAAAAATATGATTATATTTTTTAAGTAACAAAAAATAATAAAAATATTGGAATATTGTTATTTTTTCCGTGTCTTTCATTGCCTTTGCCAATATGCAGCGATTAATTAGTCACATTTAAAAAAAAAACAAATATAAGTTACCAACGCTAACACGAGGTATTGAATGTTCTGAAAAACCAGATATAACAGTTTATTGTGATTTCAATTATATATAAAATAATGTTTTTTATTGTAATTTTAGCATGAAAAGAATTTTGAACATTATTCGAGATTTATAAATAGACAATTATTTAAAATGACACAATTTAATATATAACAAAATTTTTAAAAATAAATTATGTAGTAAAATTACTAAATATTAAGAAATATCTTTAAATCTTTTAATAACAACAATAATTTTATTTAAAATATAATTAAAAGAATTGTATTTGTTTTTTTCATTTCCTTTTTTATGTACAGCGTTTAACGTGGCATATTTAAAACAAATTACAAAGAAACGAAATGAAACATTTAAAAAGAAATAAAATAATAAGTATATTTATCTCTTCCTCTTATTGCATTAGTTTATATCAAGCAGTTTGCTTAAGCAAAATTCATAACCATTAAATGATAATTGCTAAGAATTTGGTGCAGAAATAAAACGAAAGCGTTTTGCGCCGAAGGGGTGGTGGGAACGTTTGGCCGTGAAATCAAAGCGACGAGTGTTTTTCGCCCTGCTCTCTTTCGCGCTCATCATTCATTTCCGGGCACGCCGTTTTTCTCTTTCTCGCAACTTTGATTGGGTTGTGGTGCCGTCGGCCGAAATTCTGCAGCTTCTTCTCCGGTGGCGGGGCGAGTTGTGAACAGCACACTAATATCGCCGCGGCGCAGTCTGGAGAGAGCGTTCGTTTTTCCGTACGTGGAGAGCCCTCGAAAAGAGCTGGCTGGAAAGTGTAGTGGGACGGGCGCGCGCACCAGATCAATAGATTCGCGGCGCCTTCAAAGGGAAGCAACGCCAACAACCGCACGGCGGCCGAACCAGAAGAATAGCCTTAGCACGCCTCAATCAGTTCACGGCGCTATCGCGAGAATCAGCAAACTGGCAATCTGCATATTCTGACACGTCATCACCTTTTAATAAAGCTGCTTATTAGGCCAGTCGCCCTGTTTTTTTCTAGTCAATAAGAAGAAGAAGAAGAAGATATCGGAGGAATAACCCAATATGCGCTCCGACCGACGAGCACGGTCTGCCGCAGAGATCGTTAACCTGAATTTATTCGATACCGCTGGCAATGACATCGTGTTTTTGTTAAGAGCTGTTTTTTAATGGAAAAGTTCAAGACGAAAATTTACTGGCAATTTACAAGATAGAAGCACAAAAAACTGGAGGGTGAAATATTTTCTACCTTAATTAAATTTCAGTCCGTGTTTTGAAAATATCTTTCATATTTTAATTTTTATATTGAAGCAGATTATGGAGCCTATGGAGGTGATCAGAAGAGCGGATGCTGTTTAAAAATGAATTATTCTACAAAAAAAAATTTTGTTTTTTATTAAGCGAGCCTAGAAATGATTAAATTTGCAACAAATTTAAATCACTACGGTCTATGTTTTTTACCCTGCCAGATGCAATGGTGGTAATTTTAAGTATGAATACAGAAAAAAACACACGCACACTTAACAATTATCTGAGAAGCTAAACTTTGAATTTATTTAATTTAATTTTTAATTTAAATAGCGTAAACGTTCGGCAATATTCCTATATTTCAATGTTGATCAGGTTACCTTATTATGTACTATCCGGTAATTTAGTAATAAAAATCTTAATAACTGCCCAAACACATCATTCAAATTTACAATAAACAATAAAGAAAAACAGTGTATGATCAAATTATTACATTTTTTAACATCATTTCTGATTAATCTGATCTATTTTATTTATTTCACAGTGGGAAAGGAAATTATTATTCAATTTTTCAATCTTGCTAGTTTTATAATGAATAAAACATAAGTAAATGCTTAGCGTTTTATGTTTAATTATTCTAAAAAAATTAAACACGCTCAAATTTCGCTTTGCATTCCAAAACAACTCGTTTTGCAGCTGAACAAGAGCGCACCTTTAAGGCTAGGCCGACGGCACGCACGCACGCATTAAGAAATTAAAATTTTTAAGACGACCCCGTAAAAAAGGAAATTTGCTCTGCGCCTGGAGGAAAATAAAAAAGACGAGACGGGCGCAAACAAGGGCCTAAAGGGGCGCGCCTGTGCATGCTGCGAATGCTGTGAAAATCCCACGACATGACATTATTATTTCTGGGCCGGCGCAGCACAAAAGCCAAGAAAATGCTTATTTATGTAATTTGCAGCATAATGCGCGCCGGCCGCTAAATAAAAGCGGCCTGGCTGCGGCGTTTAACGTCCCGGCCACTTTATGGGCACGGGTCGGAGGGAGGGAGGCCCATGAAAAATTCAGCCATTACGGCGGCCGAATACGGAACGGCCGAATTATTTGGCCCGGCTAAATTTGTACACTCGGAATTAAGTGCTCTCGCACCCCGGGTGGCCGGCAAACGGCCAATTGCAAATTGCGCCCGGGAGCGTATTCATTAGCCGGACAGAAGCACTTTGCTCAACTTCTATGTAAACTGCGACGCCAGGGAGTTTCTAGCCGGAATTGAAATTTTAGTGCTGGCCTGCAATTACGCTCCGAATTATTTGCAAATCCAACATAATTTGCATTTTCCATTTTAAGAAGTGTGGTGCATTCCAGAAAAGTTACTAAATATTTCAGCGGCAGTTTTTCAATGTTAGTATCAAATATTGCCATTTAAAAAGTTTATTTTTAAATTTGTTATTGTTTATGAGCGGTGTTGACATGCGCTAATTTTAATTTAAAAAATGCTTTAATAATAAACAGTAGATTTATAAAATTATTTACTTGTATATAAATATCTGAAACTCCATTCATTTCTGCTAATATAAAATTAAAATTAAAAAATTACACAATAGGTACGAGAAAAAATTGTAATTATTATTTAATACAGTAATAACATATCCTTAAATAATTTAAATCTTCCATGCTTAATTTTTAACAGCCATGCTCATTTGTTATTAATAACGTCATAAAATTAAAATTTTTAATTATTTTATTGCTTTATTATAGAAGATTTAACAATTTAGATATTTTATAAATTTATTTCAATTTTTTTAATTTAATAATTTACTTTTCATAATTTATTTTCACTTATTTATTAACTCAAATTAACATAATTTTAATTAACATTTTTTCCCATTGATTTTAACATGAACAGTGTCCCATGTCCCATGTATGGAAATAATTAACTAATGCAAATTAAAACAGTTTAAAGTATCAATAAATCTGGCCAAGAATTTGTAATTTTGAGGTCTATGTTTTCAAAAAGTAGCGTGGCCAATGTCAGAAGCGACAAAAAGTCGCAAATCGTAAGAAATTTGCTCAAAAATGATCAAAGTTTGATGAATGGCCTCAAGGTCTTTTGTGACTCACCCTTTTGTCCTCGAAGACGCCTCTCTCGAGCTCTCGACGCCTTGACGCAGCCTCTCGATCTCGATCTGAATTGCACTCGATCGTTTTCAGTGTCTCTCAAAAATCACGTCACAATCGGCAAATCGAAATCGGCAAGTCTGCAAACTTCGAAATTAGCCGGGTTTTAAGCGATTCGCGGAAAAGGAAGCGGCTCCGCAGATACACCCACTTGTGAACCAAACAAACATGTGTTTTTAGGTTTTTCGTTTTTCTCACCGGTGTTTGCACTGAACGATAGTCAGTTTTTAATATTGAGAACCGGTTCTTATAAAATCCAAGTGCACTGCCTTATGGGCTGAGCTGAAGTTGAAAATTAATAATTTTTACTCTTAAACTTTTTTGCTCAAAATCAATAGAAAAAAATAAAAATATATAAATATGAGATCGAAATTCAGTATTATTGTCTCTTGAACTAGACAAAATTTGTTGCTAGCATAAATTAGCAAACTTAATTAATTTACATAGTCAATTTCAAAATTTTGTGCTTATTGATTATTCAATTTATATTATTTACATTTAATTTTCAATAACTTTCTGCCTAACACTTCAATTGCTGATTTTTAAATTATGGTTTTATTTTTCTAATTTTTTCAATTTTTATTTAAATTGTTTGAAGAAGATTATCTTATTATATCAAGCATTATTTATATAGTGCCTCTTCTTTCTTTATAAACGTAGTAATGTTTTAGTCAATTAAAATGCGATTAATTTCAATTTCTCTTACGTCTTATTTTCATCTTTATTACAGAGAGAAGTGTACGTAGCAAATTATACATTATTATACAGCATTACATTTTGTGTTGAATAAAGAAATTTTCCTCTGCTCATCTTGCATGGAGAGAAAATCAAAATATTGGTTAAAAATTACAATACAAAAAATTGAAATAACAAAAAGGTTTTGCTTTGCAATTTAATTATTCATGCACGCTCCTTTAGAAATTGAAATACTTAACCCTCCACATCAGACGCAAATTGAGTACACGATTTTAAAACAAAAAATGCAACTTTGACACAATTCAGGCATCATATTTAAAATAGGCAACTGACTAGAGACCTAAAACACAATTTTTTTTGCTTAGTTTCCTTTCTACCCAGCGGATACTGTTAATAATTTTTACATTATTAAAACTCACATTAAAATCGTTTGAAAAAATTGGTTACCATTATTTGTTTCAGCTTTTTTGCGGGTTACAGATAACTTAACCCTAAGATACAAAAGAACCAGTAGAGCAATTTTAAGGCCAGCAATCTAATTGCGGCATGCACAAAACTTTGGATTCATTTATATCACTCCCGGTCATGATCCCGATTCAACAAGAATAATTTCCTAGCAAAAAATATATAATTCACGGTATTAATTTGTTAGATATGTTATGTTTTTCTCCAATAAATTTTGAAAAATCCACAAGCCAGCTATCGATGCATTTAGGTTTTCTACAACTGGGTCAACCAATTTTTTTTTCTCTCATGGTCCTCTGAGTGATTATCAATTTTAAGGGCCTGCAATAAAGCTCTCCAAAAAACAATCTCGTGCCAACAAACAGCTTCAGTGATTTTTCTGCTAACAAAGATCACATCTTGACACAATCTGCCCTTAGGAATGCTTATGTTATTTTGAGAGTAACATGCGTCATATAATATATTATGTACCTTTGCTCAGTTTCAAATTGGTTACAATTTTCTCTACTATTTACAAATCAAGCCGATCACTCATCATCAAAAAGAGGAGGAAAAGTAAGGCATGTAAGTATTCACATTCAACTACACAGTGCTATTTCCACATGAGTTGACTCAATAAATTGTACAAATATTATCTTGTCTCCTCTTTTGGAATCTAAAAATTGAATAAAAAATATTATCAGGCAATGCAGACTTGCTATGTGAGGGTTGATATATAATACGCAACTTGGAACTTGCAATTTTAGTGACACAATTTTTTGCTCTTCTAGTATGTGGGTTTTATATAATACTCTTGACAATGTTCTCAATACTGTTTTGGATGTGAACCCGATTATATTTTTGCTTGCGTCTCCAATGTTCATTATTGTTATCATTAAAAATCACAGGAAATTACATTTTTGTGTAAAGTGGTGTGTCCAAGCTTTTGCATTCCAACAATAAATTGTTATTCGCTTTCTTATTCTTATAACTCGCTATATACTTTAGTACAAAAATCATTAATGGGTAGCTGTGTGATATCCCTCAATAATAAAATCTGATTAATCCGTAACTGCGGCCACCAGTGCCAATAAATCCAGCTTGACTTTGCTCAACATAAATACTTTGACGAAAGCAGCTCTTGTCAGTTTTGACGAGAGCTATCTGTGGGTGCAAACAACGTCTATGCTCTCAGCGCCACGAAACCATCTTCAAACTGCGTGATTTGCCTGAAAATGAGACCAATTTTTAAAATTTGTTTGAAACGTTTGTTTATCTGAAAATGCTGAAAATATTTGTTAAGTATATTATTTACTACATATTATGGAGAAAATTTATCTTAACCATTGCCCCTCAATTGTAAAGATTTGATTATATTTTGAGCACCTCAAACACGTGAAGCGCAGTTGGTGGCTCATTGAATTTCATTATCTTTTGACTGCATGTGCTCCTGATAAGATATTGGTTAATTCTCAGCTATTAACAGCTCTTGATAATATTCTTCATATAATTTTAAAAAAACGTTTAAGCAATCAATCAAAGTCAAAAGCCTTTAAAATGATCTTGCATGCTAGATTTTTGCGCAAAAAGCTAAGAGAGAAACATCAAATTCCTTACCACTCAAGGGCACTAGTCGGTTTTTCCGCCTTGCTGCGCCCATCGCTCCCATTGGTTCAACTTCTTCTTGACTGTCGGGGTCATGGTCTTGATGGTTGCCTTTTCCAGCGAGACGTTTGGTGGCAGTGAAGCCATTCCGGAGTTGGAGTTGCTGCCATTGACCAGCTCGATTTCCTTGTCCTTTATGCCCCACGAAAAACTCTTCGGTCTAGGGGCCTTATTATCTTGCACTGGTCTCTCCAGCCTGTGCTCCGGACTTTTGCTGATGAAGGTCTGCGGTCGTCGGTTGAGGCTGTTGTTGTTGTTGGCCATGCTGGTTGGGACAGTGTTGTTATTTATCGAGTTGAGAGTTTTCTCCATGGTCGTGGGTTTGGCCTCTTCGTCATTCTCTTTGTCACTGTCCCTCGACTTCTGCGCGCCAAGGGTCTCCCAGTTGTTGTCCGAGTCCTTTGTGACCTTCAGCGACCGACGGGCAAACACTTTGAAGAGCTCGCACTCATCGGACTTTGCTTCTACCGCTGATGGTTTCCTCCTGAGCACCACCTCTTGTATGCTTCCGTTCTGATTCGGTTTACTTTGCGGAGCCTCTTCGAATGCCTTTGTTTTATTCTGGTGTCCGTTCTGAACTTTCGGCTCCTCTACAAGTTTAAGCTTGCTGGGCAGAATTTGCAATGGCGGCGCTTCCTCCTGTGGCTTCACTCTCTGGTTGACAATTTGAGGTTTGGCCACTTCGATATCAATTGACTTGGATTTGAACATCGATCCTCTCTCTTCTGTGCTCTTTCCATTGACAGCCAAACTCTTGACAACCTTCGGCGCCTCGAATAGTTTGACTTCGGGGCTCTTGGGCAAAACTTCAACTGCCTTGGTTTCGGCTGCTTTCTTTTCCACAGCTTTGACTTCCACCGCAGTAGGGTTGGTGAAAAGTCGAAGCCGTTGAGGGGAAGAGTTTTGCTTCAGCAACTTCGGTTTGTCCAACTCTTCGACAGAGCTGCTGCTGCTTCTCCTACTCGGCTCCACTTTAGCCACGGGCGTTTCCTGCTTGCTCTCCACAGGGTTCAGCTGCAAACGGAGGAACTCGGGGGTGCTCGGCTTGGCTGATTTTTCCACCCTAACCGGCCACTCGTTGTCTTTGAGTCGCTTTCTGATCTCGCTTGGCCGCAAATTGACTTCCTCAGTGCTGCTGATACTGTCATTTGAGGAGGTTTTTCTGTGAGAGCCACTCGAATTATTGTTGTCACTGAGCATGCTGTCCACTGAGGAAGACTTCCTGATGAAATTATCCGGCGGAGCGATTGACACCGGAGGGTCCGAATGTCTGCTCTTGACAACGCGCAATTTTACAGGCCGCACTTCGATTTTATCTTCAGAGGAGTCACTTGTCGGTAGCCAGGATTGCCTGAATCGAGGTGTGGGCCGCACGTCGTCACTCGTGCTGGAGAGTTCGGTACCGGAACTCAGGGAGTCGGAGGAAATCTTGAGATTGCGCTCCAGACTGTCCATCTGCGACTGACTCGGACTTCGAATTCTGCGGAAATCTTCGAGACTGTCCAATGAGCTGGGCGACTGGGCGCTGAACTCGGAGCCCCTGTGGGTGTCCAGGGAATCGTCTGTGTAAGAAACAAGAACAAAATTTGAAGGAGAAACCGGCGTTACAGGTGACACAGGTGAAGGCGGCGGGATTTCTGCCTTTTGGTGCACCAGCACAGGTTCAACTCTCTGCCGAGAGCTTGCGGAGGAAATTCGCCTTGGCTCTGGCTTAGGAGCCAAAATTGGAGGCGATCGGGCATCTTTCCTGGTCGGTGACTCTGCCTTTTCTTCCTTTTTCAAAATCGACTTAATTTCCTTGACAGGAGAGGTTGCTTCCTCCACCTTCTTGATAGGAGACACCCTTGGTAGAGGTACGGGTCTGTCTGGTTTGATGTCCAGTTTATCTGGTTTGACGATTTCCCTCTTTTCCGGTCTGGGCGCCTCAATTTTCTCGGGCTTGACGTCAATTTCCAACTTTTCGGGTTTTTCGTCTTCCGTGGATTCTCCAAACATGGCACTGAATTTTGAGGCTGCGGCGCTGGCTAGGGCGGCCTGCTCGATGCGCACGGCCGACACTGCCCTGCGGTAGGCCGGCTTGACAAGCGCAGGGTTGGGCTGCTCCGTGCTTGAGTGGCTGCGGGAAAGCTTGACCTCGGTGGCGGGCGCGTTGGAGGCGGCGGCTAGAGCAAGGCCAGGCGGCAGTGAGGCTGATTTTAGTTGGCGCTCAAGCATGGCTTCGAAAGAAAGAGGCGCGTGCCCTGTTGGCGAAGAGACAGTGATTTCAGCTGGCTGCGGGGTAATTTCAGGGCTGGGAGAACAGGGAGGCAAGCAGACGTCATCTGAAAGGGCACAGTAAGCTCAGATTTAGAAAGCACAAGCAAGAAGAGAAAATATATATTTATAAAATATTTGAGACAATGATATCATTTCAGCGTTGGGAAGACAAAAAGATTGCAAAAAGTATAGGCGACGGCACAACATATGCATAATTTTACAAGTATGATAAAAAAAGAAGCAGAGATAATATTCAAAACAACTAGACCACTTTGCAAAGATTTTTTATCAGGTTAGACGTTTTAAAGGGCAAAAAGGCAATGTTTATCAACTTGCTGAAGAGTAGAAGACTTTTTAAAGTGGAAAGAAAGTTCAATGGCAATTGCACTGAATATATTCTATAACATTGTAATTATTTAAAGCCTCTCTCTAATTCATACAATAATAGTAAATATAAAAAGCAGTTTTTGTCATTGCAAAAAATCATTTTGGCAAAGGATCATAATAGTTCAAACAATCTAACAAATTATACATTGTACACCCCAAGCACAAAATTGGTATAAACTGTAACATTAATATGAAAATGTTATGCAAAAATTGTAATTTTTTATTTTCTATAGAGTTAATTTTTGCAGACGTTTTTGCATTATTCTGATATAATTTTCAATTTATCTCATTAAAATAATGATTTGTTTAAGGAGTGTTTTTTTTTTTTCAAATAATCAAAAATTAATTTTAATAATGCATTTTTAATACCAAAAGCGTCAAATGTGCAATGGAATATAAATTATTATACAATTTTTGACATAAAAAGTGCATCAATGTTGCAGTTATGGCTTAAAACTGCGGTTCATTCTAGGATAGATCGGTCCACAGCTGGGGTCGCGCCACCGAGAAATCTCTGCTGGCTTTGGACCAAGGGGCGCAGTTTGAGCAACTCCAAATTCAAACTGTTCCAGTCTCGAAATGAATAATTTTCTAGAAAAAACTGGTCCAAGATTGGGGTCATTTTGCTTAGAATTCTCCACTGGTTTTGGGCCAGGAGCTGAGATTTGGCCAACCCTGAATTCTGACTTTGACCGTTCCAATCTAGGAATGGTAACTTTCCTAGAATAGACCGATCCAAGACTGGGGTCCCTCAGCCTAGAAATCTCCGCTGGTTTTGAACCAGTCGTTGAGATACGGCCGACCCCGAATTCAGACTTTGGCCGCTCCAATTTAGGAATGAACACATTTCTAGAAATGACTGGTCCACGGTTGGGGTCATTTTGCCTAGAAATCTCCGCCAGTTTTGGATCAGGAGTTGAGATTGGGCCAATCCTGAATTCCGACTTGGACCGTTCCAATCTAGGTATAAACACATTTTTAGAATAGACTGGTCCACGGCTGGGGTCACTTCGCCTTGCAATCTCCGTTGGTTTCAGACCAGAGGCTGCGCTTTGGCCAACCCCGTATACTGACTTAGACCGTTCCAATCTAGGAATGAACACGTTTTTGCCTGGGGGCGGCGCAATAGCGTTAACCGACACACTCCTGATACCTTTTTTGAAGTCCACAGGAAGAGCGCCGGTTTCCTCGGCCGCCTCTGGGGTAGATGGCAACACAGAAGGGGTCTGAAAAAATAAGGAAAGCAATAAATTCAAAACTATCAGACAAAATCTCAGCAGCGCATACGGTTTGAAGCCGTCTGAGCCGTGGAGGGCCGTGCGTCCTCTTCGGTCTAACTGCTATCTTGTGCTTTGCTGCAATGTGGCTTAGCGGGGGGATTTTGTCCCCATTTTCCGACTCCATGTCTCTCACGCCTGAAAACAACGAGATTTACTCGCAAAGTCGTAATTTGAGGCCAAAGCCCTACCGTCGGAATGGGACCTGTCGGCAGCAAACAACTGAACTGAGCCTCCCGAGATTTGGAAGTCCTGAAAGCAGAAGGCGTTGTTACTCTGTGCAAGTTGCTACTCATCTGCCCAAAATTGGTCTGATTAGCTAGAGACAATAATATGCCCTATCTTTGCATCATATTATCTTTTTACACTCGGCCTCGCACACACTGAACTTTATCTGCATGATAAGTGCGCCAACAGAGGACCAAATGTGTGTTTGCGGAGTGCAAATTCTGGGCGCGTGGGTGCGGTAATTTTTTTTTCAAATAACCTTTGAACTCACCTCGTCCATCTCGGTGCTGCCCATGCTGAGGAGAGACCCGTCACTGCAAGTACTGTGAGCTCCCTGCAACATAAAAGAAAGGAAATTTAGGTTGATTTACAATTAATGTTAATTAAATTATGTATCAACGTTAAAAGAAAATAAAAATTACATGCAACTTAATCAAGGCGACACGCTACACAATGTAATCGTAGAACGGATTGTCCAGCCGCTTTGAAAATTTGATTGCCGAAGATAAATAACGTCAATCAAACTTAATTTTTGTTTGATATTCGCCTTGACTCTGAATTAGACGTTTATCTGCTCAGAAATCTCCATGGCAGGAGTGTAGTGAGACAGAAAGGTGCGCGCAACTAGATTTGCAATCTTTCGTACAAAAGCACTTGGCTCAATCGCCGCTGCCGAATGAGCTAAAAGAGATTTTTATCGACTACTGGCCGGTGATTTCAGACTTTTTATTAATGCAGCCACGTGAATTTCAAGTTGATTGCAAGATAACTAGCTTTACAATGGTGTCTGGATTGGGATACCAAAAAGGGGATGTGAAAATTTTCTTGTTTGACTCGCTTGCCCCAGGATAAGACGGTCTAAACTAATTATTTCAAAATGTTAACGAATTCTATTTTATTTTTGAACAAAGAAGTAATAAAATTTAACTATTCAAACCCTTTGCAAAAATATTGTGTCGTTCTTAGATTTTAATAAAACTTCTGAATTAGAAAAAAAAATACTTTTAAAAGAAAATTTTTTGCAATGAACCCATGCAAAAGGTTTAAAATTCTAATCTTTTATTTTTAATTTTCTGGTATAAAATTTTCTTTCGACGAGATCAGTTTCTATTGTTTCTATGCCTATAATACAATATTATAAAAGCAGCGAAAGCTTTGCATTTTTTTCCAAAGCAGATAATCAGAGCTTTGAATTAAAAGCATTTTTCTTTTAATAACTCTTGGATCAAAGGCCGTGAAATTCCCAGCATTGCTTTTATCTGATTCACTGAAGCCGTAAAGCAGCTTACGCGCTGCAATCTCGATGAAATGTTCCTACTGCAGTTTCGCAGCAGGGCGAGAGCAATTAAAATTCTCCCACCTCTCGGCAATAAAATAATTCTGATAGCTTTCTGATACAGCCGATTAGAAATTACGGCATTTGGCAAAGTTCAACTTGAGGTGATGGGCAGCAGCATCGCGTAACATTATCGCGCGCAATCGCTACTTTCCCTTCCTTCATTGAAAAAACGGCAGTCAGGAAGAGAAATCACGTAATGCGCGCTTTTGTCCTCGCAATCCAGTTATTCAACAATTCACGCCGGTGAGCCTTTTATCTGCCGCCGCTTGTCTCTTAAACCAAAGTTTATGGTCGCAGTTTGTTCAGTGAATTTTGCGTTCCCCGACAACAGGTTTCCCTCGTCCAGCTAGGTTCGCTCTCAAATAATGCATATGCGAATCTCGAGCACCGTCCATCAACGTCATCCGCCTCTCCAACTGCGTAATGAGAGACGGACGGCATTTATCTTATTTCAATTAAGGAGGCTACGTACTCTCGCCGATTCGCATGCGAGATGATGTCTATTTTACTTAACCAGGCATATATAAAGAATAATGACGCTTCTTTCAACTCTCGTCAATGCATTAGGCCTGTCGATTTTTATCTGCCTTAAATGAAGCTTCACGACGAGAAAAATTAGTGCCTTAAATTAGTTAAATTTGTTCTTGTGGTTTATTTTTTAAAAGCGTTCAAACAGTAAGATTTTATCTTGACATTCTTCGATTTAATTTTGCTGCTTGATGATTAATAAAAACTTTTTAAGAGTATAATTTCCCATTGATAGATTTCCATATAAGGAAAAGATTGATAATATGTTTACACAATCAAATAGAATCAAAGTCTCAAGTCAGTAGAGCATGATTTTTTTTGCATTTAAGATGATAATTCTTCTTTAAAATGTCGGAAATTCATTTAATTCACACACATAAACCCAACAAGCAGAAATGTTGAAAGTTTATTTTTAAATGTTTTTTGTTAATAATTTCAATATGTGAAGTCCTAAGCTATATTGAAATCTTCGTATAATGTTTCCAGATGATGTTCAAAACGTTTCGGCCCAAAAACGACCCACAGAAAACCAATAATACACGACAAAATTGATTTTATTGCAATTTAAATTAATTAATAAATTCAAATTATTTTAAGGCGAATAAACTTTAAACGAAAAAATATGTTTATAATAAATGATTAATGAATATAAAAATAATCATTGCCGTAAAATAAAACTATTTATCACACTCAATAAAAAAAAACTCTTTAATTATAAATCTCATTGTAAGTGGCTTCTTTATTGTACCAGAAGAATAATTAAAAAGCATCCGTTTACGTCTTTAACTAATTGTAGGGTTTGCTCGTCGGAGTTCAATCCCGATAATCGCTGGTGCGTAGAGCGGTGTGGACCAAATAAACGCCGTGGCCTCGCGCGAACGGTATAAATAAAAATGTGCTCCTCATGACAATTGCCCGGCGCGTCCCGCCGTCCCGTTACTTTTATCTTCATGTGTGTGCGTTTACATTTGAAAAACACGCCGGCCAGCTCATGCACGCAGCCAATAAAGAGCAGGTTTTTCGTGTTTTTCACTTGCCGAAACTTCATTTCAAGTTGTCCAGGCCACTTTTTTGCCCAAACCGCGTCCCGCAAGTGGATGCTGGTCGGGTACTGAACGGGTTAGTGACAGGGCTTGCAGATCTCATTATTTCCAAGCCGAAGCAGCCTATCAATTAATTTTAACTGGCGAAATTGCGACTGCAATTATATTTAACGACCTTTTAAAAATTTGCAAAACGGTCTGCGGAAATTGGCCAATCCGCGAGGTCGTATTAAACAAATTTTCCAGCTAATTTTTGCACTGCGTTTCGCTTCTCGGAATATTGAACCCGAGAGCAGAGACGTTTCCTGTTCAACAACGCGGGTGCAGACTATCGCATTGTTTTTCCCTCTGTGGTGCATTTCAATAGCGTGATTGTTTGATCCAGTGCACTTTGAGCCGCGATTTGCATGATTTGCATCTTCATGCGAGTCGCGTTTCCGCTTTTGTCCACACCAACCATCACCTTTCAACCGTTCCTTTGTTGATTTAGCGTTTCGCATGCTAAGCTTTTTTAAATTGAAAAAAAAAACGACAAAACTGGACACCAAAATTAATATCTTATAATTATTCTTTTGGCATAAATTGTATTTTTCACCATGGGTAGAAGAAAATTTTGGCAATACTTTACAATTGCTTAATTTTTGAAAATTTAAATTTCAGTCGTAAATAAAAATTACACTACAATGTTATATTCATGGCATTGGATAGTGAAATTAAGTTTCAGATTTTTTGTCAGGTATTTATCTAAATACGCAATTGTTTGGTATTGTCGGTACGACTGTTTTTATTTAATATGCATGTTCATGCACACATGCATTTTGCTACTCATCAAATAAAATTATAATGCTGCACAGCATAATTATTTGTATTCAAATCCAGCAAGTAAAAATAGAAAAGAAAAATAATATAAAAATGCATAATTGCAAGATTATTAGAAACTTGCCATTTCAAACAATATTCAGGAATTGAAAATCAGGCGCTCACATATTATAAAATGATGTCAAAACGCCCCACAAAGCTTATTTGTCAAAATAAATTTAAAATTAAAGATTTTAAATCATATGAAATTTGCTTTAAAAAAAAATGATCATAGTATTTGAAATGTTAGTTGAAATTTTTACACACCATATTTTTTATAATATTCGCAGCCAAAATCCCACAGGGGATAATTTCTCTCTCCCGAAAAGAGCCATATTTGTTCTGTAAAAAACGTCATTTAAAAAATCTTTTATCTTTCTTATAAAAAAATCCTTCCCAATTACCAATCTTATGTGCCCTTGATTAGTCGTATAAATTGGAAATGCTGATTCAACTAAATTATAAACCATCTAGAGATGTGTCTGATTATAAAATTAACCGCTTAATTTATTTTTTAGTGTTATAAGCTCATAAACTCAAGGTTGAAGTATGTATGAGTTTACAACAAGTCCGAATCAGCTCAAGGTGCGTTGTGCTCGAGTTGAATTTCACGCCTTTATATAATGCGGAATAAAATTGTTTTCTGAGAACTGAAGAGGACCCACACAAACTGACTGAACAGCAAAACCTTGACTGTTCCAGCCGAGCACACCTAACAATGCAAGGCAACAGCCGGACGGTGCTGGGCATCCGAAAGAAAATTAAAACAACGGATTTGTGCAACGCACATTTAGGTCCTCGCGTTGGCTCATAATGCTAATTGGCGAACCACGGACACTGATTGTGTGCGCTGCCGTCTGTGCTCACTCTGCAGTGCACACGCATTTGCTCCACATTCCCGCGAGGGGACCGAATTTCTCACGCGCAGAACAATCGCAATGCAAAATAATAAAAAAAGACACAATGCGGCGTGAGTGTGTGGATACCTCAAACAGAGACCTAATGATGGAGATGAAAACGAAATAATAACACGCTCGTAAGTGGAACTAACACTTTTGTAGTTAATGGCACGTCGGCGTGAATAGGGGTCAGAAATTATGTATGATGGATCGGAGAGATCGCTTCGAAAGACAATTGATGGGAACATTTTTATTCGCGGACTGTTTTTCTGCAGCTATAAAGCCAAGGAAGAGATGATACTACAGATCAAACAAATGTTTCTGAAGATATGAATTATACCATTCCTGACCAAAAACAATAAAAAATGTTTTGAATGATAAATAAAGAGGTATATTTTAATGAGCTGCACAATTTATTTGTTGATTAAAAGCTTTATTTTTCTATTTAAATCTAAGCCATGTGCAAACATAAAGAAAAAAATTAAACATTTTGTGACTGAAAAGAATAAAAAAAATGATAAAATTATGGTTAAAATAAATATCAAAATATATGAAAAAATTGTGATAATCATAAATATAATGAACTGAAAAAAATTATTTATTATTTTTTGCTGTAGTATTATAAACAATAGCCCTTAAATTTATAAAATTATATAAATTTTTATAATTTCCAGAATTTATGGTTTTGTACTTTTTTTAAACTGCGGCGAATGGGGTCTTTTTAGTATTGAAAGTTTTAGCAAAATTCTTGCTAATGGTGGTCCCGTTTTTACCAACAATTTCTTTATTTAAATGAATTTTTTTCAACAATTGCATGTAAAAATGTACTGCAGCAACGAGTAAAAATAAACAACAATAATAATAACAACTAACGACGCAGTGGGTGTTAAAAAGGAAAAAGCTTCTTTTGCTTCCAAGAATCAATGGAATCAAAAAGGTCAAATAAGACTTGCTCACTTTTGCGATGATGTGTCAGCGGCATCGCTCTCTCGTCGAACGGCGGAACACACTAGCTTGGCTCCAACATGGCCGGAGAGCACCCAGGATGAGTGAATGACTAGCGAGCTCGGTGCCCACGTTAACGACTAACAAAGCTGTGTGTGACCGTGATGCAGCCGCGCACGCCGTAATGCATTCGCCCGCTCTGCCGCTAATTAAAGCCGCGGTCTGCCAACGCCATTCGGCGATTTTATCAAGCCTCATTTACCCATGAATAGTGGACAGAGCGCAGCCGAATGTTGTTCGTTTTTTGCGAAGTTCAAACTCTTATCAATGTTTGCCAAACGTGCCGGTGATAACGAACCCATTCTCTGTTGGGATAGTCTAGATACTAGGATAATTGTTACATAAATAGAAAAGGAAAAGCTGTTTGCATTTGGTTTTATTGCGAGTTATTCAGGTTTATATTGTTTTCCACGCTCAGATTGTGTGTTTTGATTTCTACGCCGGCGAAGCAGGAAAGCAGCGATTACAATGATAAAATTTTAAAATTCACAACGGCGAGAAAGTGAATTGAATTACTTTATGGACGCAATGGCACACGCTATCAGCAAAACTAAAATTCACTTTCTAAAATTATATATTTTCGGCCGAGTTTACGATATTATACTCGCACACAAAACACACAGCTCGAGTAATTAGGAAACGCTTTTTATGTGTAGTCTTACGACACACAAATACACCGCACGATGCCTTTGTTTGCAAATGCGCGCCTCTTTTAATTCGTACAAACAACCGACGAGAAGTATAAAATGTACTTTTAAGGAGTGCGAATGAAAATGTCACCTCCGCACGGCTCTTTACCGGCAACAAGGAAACTTTCCTGAGCGCACAGTAAGTTGTTCATACACTTGCTACTCCAAAACATAATTAGGCTTCCTGTCTGCTTGCGCTCGCCGGCAAAGGGCCAGTTTCATTATAGGTATCCCGTTTCCTTTTACTTGTGGAGATTCAACTAACTAAGTTTCAGGAAGCACCTGTCTCGATTCTTTAATTAATAACTTAAAAGGAATGCACGTATTTGAGAAAAGAACAGATTGGAAGCCAAACAAACTTCTTTACACAGACCTGATTTAAAGTTTGAACCAAACTTCCTTCCTATTTTATAACACATACACTGCATCAGAATTATTTTTCAAATTTGATTATGAAATATTTGTTGTTTAATATTTAAAATTGGAACGTTTTGATTGACTGGTCATTGAATATTTCATTTCATTATTTTTGTTTTCAATTCAAAATACAAAATATAATTTTTAATTTTTATTCCTGACTCTTATATTAAGTTTGGACGCGAGAAATCCTAGGTTTTCTAACAAAGTACCAGCAGACCTAGCATAAAAAAATATTTAAGCGATTTTCAGCTGTAACATTATTTATGTGCATGTTGACAGAAAAAGATACAATAATTTTATTGCGCATGGCCATAATTGGGACGTCACTATATATGTTTTTCGGTTTTGTTTGGTGTTCCAACGCAAAAAACAAAATTGAACAATCGAGATGAGTCACCGCCGCGCTCATCGTTTGTTCATTTCACGTGGGCTCCATCGCGGAGGATGCAAAAGTGAAACGCGCTGCCTATGCTTGATGCGCGAAACACAATACAAAATAATAGCAGATGATAAAATATAATCCTCTTTGAGAATGGAGGTTACGGAAATGGAGATGCTCTTTTGCACTCTCCAATGCAAGCGGATGGAAAAAAAGAAAAACGCGCGGTTCAATCGGTGTCACGTGGGTGGACGAAAGTCACGCAACCCGCGTGACCATATAACACACAATGGGACTGACTGACTGTGTCAAGAGACGCATTGTGATGCAGACCAACAGTCACTAATTTGGGCCCCCCAGTCGCCCGCTTCCTCCGCCACCTCTGAGGAACTGTTATTCTCATTCTTTTTCAAACCTACTTGTTTTAGTTTGAGAGAGAAAAAAATACAGCGACGAGCTTTCGTTTTTTTTTTTCTGAGCTGTAAATCGTTTTCCTACTCCAGGCGTTACATTATTATGAGTGTTCTGAGTAACGAAAAATCGGCTTTCATTAGCCAAAATTATCATTTTCACTCGGACGTGCTTTCTAATGATTAATTAGCCGCTTGTTGTTGTTTTTCACGTTATTTGCGGCTCCTGCCTATAATTAGAGGATAATCAAAATTTAATCGCAAGCTCTTCGATGCAAATAGTTTTTAATTGAGACCAAACGTTGTAAAAAAACTCAACTCTGGCTTGTTTTGGGCGTTCGTTCTAGAATATAGAATTTTAACGAGACACACCAACTCCGATGACTGTGTCGATAAATTTCACGAGCGTGCAGGTTTCAACATCGCCTAAGTGCTTCACATTTTAGATGGTAATTTTCGACTCTGATGAGTTCAATTTTACGGAGGAGCATAGTAGCGGTACTTTTGGGCGAAATGGAAACCGGCCGTGTGGACCAAACGGAGCCAACACGTCATCTGTGCGAGAGGGATAAAGTTTTCTCCAGAATTTGGCAATTTTGCAATTCAAACCATCGATCATTCAACTTGCAATCCATAACTGTTTCCTGTCGCGAATTATCGCTTAACGTTGATAGCACCATTGAGGAGAGGTCCATCGCCCGCAGCATCAACAACACACGCATCTCCGAAAGAAGCCTCTCAGGCCATAGGCCCCGGACATGTGCGTGGAAGAAATTAATTCATAAAAAGGGGCCATAAAAGACGCTGGGTCGGAATGCTTGTATCCGATTTCACGTTATAAAACGCGCTTCGTTTCGTGATAAAACGGAATAATATCTAAATAAGCCAAAACTTTTTATCACACGCTCAAACGTTTTCCTGAAACTAATAATTAAAGTTTAAAGCTTTTTTAAACTGAATTATTTCAATTTATATATGAGAATCTTTTGGAACAAATTTAATTTAAATTTTAAATTTTTTCATAAACAATTAGCTAGAATAAAATCTTAGTTTATTAAAAATATCATATATAGATTTCACTAAATTATTCCTCATCTCGATCAGATTTTGGATAAAAATATATCATTCTGATCACCTAAATTCTCAGATATCTTGAATAACTTTTGCATAAAAACGAAAATGCTGAACATTAACAAAAAGTTTGATGTTTGGCTTGAAATGAATTAAAAAAAAAAAAACATTCAAATAATCCTTGATTAGGTAGTCGCCTATTGCGTAAATGACATTCACCAAGTCCAAATAAGCAAATCGAGGTCAGTTTGCAAAAAAGGTGTCACTTACTTCGGGGCTCACCTCCTCCTCAGGCATGTTGACAACGGACAAAAACAAAACACAGAGAGAACGAAGGAACACGTCACGTATGCAACAATGTAAAATGCTTATCGCGAGCGGCACTGCACAACACGGGCCATGGTTTCGGCAGGACTGACTGCAAAGCTCGAAGCAAGCCTGGCTGCCCGCAGGTAGGAACACAGAAAACTCGCACGCCAGACCAAGAAGACGCGCGGCGCGAGATAACGGTAGCACTACGCTATAGCTTATTAAAAGAGAAACCAATGGCTGTCAGTCACAATCTGTTGCAGGTACGGTGGAGGAGGCGAATTTCGCGATCTATCTCGCCCATCTGTCAGCAAGCTGATTCAAATTGCGTAGCTAATTATGATGCACAGACTTGGCGATTTTCGTAATAATATATTTATCAAAAGTGAAACTGCGCGCTTGGTTAATTATTAAATTTATTGCGCTTTATCGTTGGTTGTGAAGTGTTTTGTAATTCGCGCGAGCTTCGGCAATCCGATATTGTTGCGCTGCAATTTTATATCGATGGATAGGCAAGGAGGGCAATGCCAAAAGAAAGAAATCTCGAGGCATCGTTTAATTGATTGGAGAATTGTTTGTATATTTTTCTACAATTTTCCAGCAGTTGTATTGATCGCTTCAAATAAAGCTTTCAAAAATCGAAGATTTAATTTACAAATTCCCTGTATTTTTGTAAATATTACAAATGAATTTTAAATATAAAAAAGTCAAAGCATCTTAACTCTAATGAAAACAATTTAAATTATTTTTTATTTAAAAAAACAAACATGTTTGTATAATTACTTTTTAATTTTAAATATATCTTTTCAAGACATTTTTTTTTCATCTTATTAAATAATTTGATTTAAGTTTCTATTGTTTTCTTCAACCAAAATGCATTATTTACATTTTAAGAGTTTCGCTGCAAACTTTAATACGATCGAAATGAAAACTGGCTCACTGGCTGTTAGAATCGCGATCGGTTTTCACTGCGCGTTAGGCAAGTTCTAAGCACCAGCGTTGCGAGGGAAGTCTAACCTGCTGCAATTTTATTATACGGTTTATTTGCACAGCAAAATAAGGGAAGCTCGTAAAAATATCTACTGTTCCAATTTTACTGGGTTAAAATTAATAAATAAATTCCAAATGAATGCTTCTAGCAAAATATGAAATTTCTGAGGATAAAACATGGGCGAATATTGTAAACTGCCTTTTATTTCACTCACGAGATTTTTTTTCTTCTTTATCTTTCTTTATCACGACTTCCGTTTTTATTACGTGTACACACTATCGATTGTGTGGCCAATTTAGGACTTTGTGGAAACAGCCGGTTGGTGCACACGACACATGTGATTGATCTCACACGCTAATTTTCCTACCAGTGCACATAGGCAAATTGCACCAATTTATCTAGAGCACCGGTGGAATGATAAAATAAGTAAACAGACAGAGAAAAATTGCACTCACCGTGTTGTTGTGCTCATCAGCAGTGGTCGGCGAAACGCCATATGGGGAGCTCGGCAAACCCAAATCCTCCTCCTCGTCCTCGCTTCGGCTGCGGCCCCGTCGGCGGCGCACCGCTTCGAACAGCTCGGCCTGCAGCAAAATTCGCCAGTTGCTTTTGAAAAATTCACAACACACATATCCATGCCAACTGGAGGCAAGCAATACATACGGGCAAAATCAATACCCTTCGGTGCTCGAGTTGTGTAAAAGATATCGAGGTGAGCACGCGGCGTTATTTATTTTGTATGTAAGTTTTGTTCACACTCTTATTTTATCTGAAACGGTGCCAACTGTTGTGTGGCGTGTGCATATTATTCCGTGTGTATTGCCCACACTTGCATGTTGGCATAATTCGGTTTTATTGTGTTTAGAAAGGAACGACTTGCACTTTCCAATTCATTGCCTGCATTTTAAGTTTTAAAAAGTTTGGTGCTCTCTTGGGCAATCACACACGGAAGGATCGTTAATATTTTGGCTATTGTTCTCCCGCGTGATTTAAATAGCACAGGTTAATCAAAACTACCCACCAGACAATCTCTACTAACAGTTTTATAATTTATTAAAAAAAACGTATTAAAATATGGTATAGCAGTTAATAAATCAAAGATAATTGTGCCATTAACATTGGCAGAAGTAGCTTCGTGCATTCTAGGCAAATAAACTTCATGATTATGCAAATTGAAATCAGTTCTTCATTCCCAGCGCCATTAATCTTTCCGTCAAGAACATCAAGCATATTTTTTTTTCTTTTTAACGCGACAAACATCATTATTTTCCTTTAAAAACTAATGAACTTCATAAAACTATCCAAGAAAAAATATGAATCTGGCATGACGAATGCCCATAATTATTGCACACGAGAACTCTCTCTCCGGGGCCCAGATTCCCTATAAGGCTCATTTACCCATATTTTGCAAAAAGTCACGTAAATGGCGACGGCCGGCTTGGAGATGATTGACCCCCAAGAAGCGCCGGAGCGTCGTTCATCCACTTCGGCCTCCTTGCTGCTAGCACGGGGGTTGATTGTGTATTTGACTTTCTCCGGGTTCTTCTCCAAGGGCATCATCATTGTGGCTCAAGTGTTATTTACGGACGCCGCCGTTTCTAAGCCAATTTTCTCAAATGCCCTCTTGACCACACACGCACGCTGATGACACTGTCCCAGAAACGCTAACACCGTGTGGGTGTCGCGCATTAACCAAAATTACAAATTTGTTCAAATATTTTCCAGTCCGCTTTTGTCGAGCACTTCAAGCCTTTGACTGGCTCTTTATGAGGAAATGAGCATCGGAGAGGAAGTGGCTTGTGGCTTATCGCTGGGTGTTTAGCTTTTTAAAAAGCAGAAATGTTTCATAGTATTGTGTGTGCCCTCAGCTTATCAAACAGAGAAAATTGAGGTCTGATACCCGAGGAAAAAATGCGGTGATTCACTTGTACTTTCGGTGTACTTAAAGAGTATGAATTATCGCCCTGCATACAAAATCCACTCCTTTTATGAGCACCTTTGAACGAGAAATTCAACTCGGCACAATGCAAACACACCGAGAATTAAATAATACCACGGTGCCCGGCCAGAACCAGTCAGGTAAGTATTATGCTTGATTTCAAGTGTGCAGCAAGTGGCTACAGGAGAATTGGCGATTATCAAACTGGAGCCTGAAGGCCAACAAGCCAAATGGGGAATTTGCAGCATATAAATGCTCAATTTAGTGCCAGCAATTCAAAGGGAAGCGAGTCGCGGCAGAAACCCAGCCCAGTCATTACAAATACAACAACCAAGGCAATTTAAATCACATTAGTTGTTGTACACCGCGTTGCCAACCAAGAAGAGCCTTTTGCAGCTTCTATATTGTAAACATTTTATTTTAATTTTAATCTCTATCTAAATTGAAGTATTGTTTTCTCTGCAGGTCCAATGTTAGTTGATGTTTTCTCTAGCTAAAAAAAAAAAAACGCTGCTCACCCGAACTCCTGCATGTGAAGCAATCGGCCCGTTTGGATGCACACCAATGAGTGGAGAAACTGCTCCATTCAGTTTATGGTGGAGGCTGAATGACTCGGGAATATCCATGGCACTGCCTCCTCTGGGTGAAGAAGAACCAGCTCTTGACTCAGAGGTAAAAATCGAGTCGTGGGACAGGCTGAGCCCTCCTGACAAGACCCCAGCGCTGCCTCCATGACTACTGCCAGACAGACCACCAGCACTTCTGAAATTAATAAAATCTTATTAAATAATATAAAAAAGAAAAGCAATAAACAAAAAATTCACACTTGAAGTACAATTGGGAATTTAACAAATTATTACATAAAACACTTTTAAATACTTAATGCAATTAGTTCATCTAGGAAACACTAAAAATAAAATATTTCTCTGGTATAAATTGAAGAAAAATTAAATTGGCTTGGAGTTTAAAGCGCAGATTGCACAGGTTGGTCAGGTGACAGTCAAATTATTTGAGATAACATCATGTGATGTAAGGTGCAAATAAGACTTGCAAAATTCAACAATGATTTCACCCCATGCCCATACATGATTCATCTAGAACGTTATCTCTCCGAGATTTCAGATCAAACAAAAACAAGATCAAAAGAAGCCCATAAAAATACATTGTTATATTTTTAGCAGCACATCATTCTTTTTGCTGCCGTTTTTCCTGGTCTTGTTATCTGCATAAACGTCAAAGGCTAAAAATAGCTGGTGGGCTGAATTGGCAGGCAAACTATTACATCCACTTGGCTATTGATTGATTGGTTTTGCCTACGGTGGAGTGAGTGACGGTTAATTTGATTAAAGTCACCTTTTCCGCAGTTCCTGCGTGCTGTCCATCAGCTCGCTGGCCGACCGTGATCGCAAATGCACTTCTGGTACCATCAGGTGATCGCCGCCATTGGGGTTGCAAGACTCGCCCATCTGCTCAGGTAGGTCTTGAGGCGCCTCGGGCACCCTGGGGGCGCGCCGGAACATTCTCTTGAGGCCGCGCAGTGGGTGAAATCGGCGCTTCTTGGGCTCTGGCTGATGGGTTGTTGACCCTGCAATTAAAATGCAAACATCAGCACCTGATTCAAGTGTGCGGTCGCCTACTGAATAATGGAAAAGTGCAAAAAGTTGGCGAAAAAAAGTCGCTTCATTTGCACGTTGTTTAAAAGGGGGCTGTCTATTTTTCTTGAATGTGAAAAGAGAGGAGTCTGGATCAATAAAAGAATCACTTTGCATTGAAAAATGGCAAAGGTTTATTTGACCTCAATAAAAAGCAGGAAAAAAACTAGCAAATGACAAAGAGTGAGATTTTTTATCCTGAATAAACAGTTTGATTTGTAATTATTGCTCGTTAATCTGCATGAAAAATGCAGGCAGATCGGCGTGGAAAATGGGGGCAAACCAAAGGTGCGTGCAAACAAGAGAAAATGTGTGTGCACAAGGAATTACTTGATCGGGAAACCAATCGATGCCGTAATTAGCCGCCCGACTCGACGAGTGAGAAAACAATTTCATAGACCAATTACGTGCCTGCACGTCGGGGTCTTGGAACCTCTGCAGTGCAGAATGATGAATTTTTGTCCACGCTCCACCGGTTCCAGAAGAGAAACAATTCAAAACAACGCAGCAGCAGAAATCGGAAATAGCACGCGGTGCGCACTGCCTAGCGTGCAACTGAGCACTAAATGCAAATAAGTTGTGGCGTGGAGGCATGAAAGCCCGCAAGTTTTTTAGTTAAAGTCCTTGTCAATATTATCGATCCTAGTCGTGCTCTTCTTTCCTTTTCTTACGGCAGAGAGACTAATTGGATTTGCAGCTGTTTGGAAACTCCGAGTTATACAAGTTAATCAGCTTGCAATTGCTCAATTGACCAAAATGTGCGTGTGCTAAATTCAAAAGTTTAAACGCAAGCACTTGCTGTGCAGAGTAAACCACGGGGTCTGAAGGACTTGAATTGGGTGCTGGCGAAGCCTTAATAAGGTTTTATTCGTCTGTCGGAGCAAGCGTGGCTGGAAAACCCGATTTATGGGGGCAGAAAGGCCAAATCTGGAAGACAGAAACCATCCATTGAGATATGCGGCGCCTTGATTAATGTCCCTCTGCTTCGGCTGAATAAATAACTCGTGACTTGCAACGAGACGCAGATGGCATTAATCAATTTGTGGAGTTAATTTTCCATAGGGATCACTTTTTGTCATTCTCACGCCCGCCCGAGTTATAAATAGAGAGAGTGCTCTCTGTGCGCCGCGCACGTTTCAAGACTTCCTCTCCACTCAGTTTGGACTAAAGTGTCGTTATTATTCTTTCCAGTGATTCAAGGTCTAGAGCGCAGCATCTGACAAAGGGCATTTTTTGCTCCTGCTGACTCGCAAAAGCCAAAAAGTCCATTATGTTATTTCGGGAGAAAATTAGTCGCATTTCCAGTCGGAATTTCCCACACCGCATGTGAGGGGCAAGGCCCCTATTGTAAAATGGAGTCGGACGTAATTACGGCAGAAAATTTATTTATCTCACGTCGTACGCTTTAACAGCGAGTGCTAGTGGCATAGTAGTATTACCATTTTTGACGGAGTCACCAGCAGCAGGAGCCTCGTCGCCGGGGTCAGATGGAGGTGATGATTCCCGCACACAGGCTAATAGGCTCGATGAATGCCGAGAGGTCGGAGCTCCGGCTGGAGCGCCCCTGCTCGCTGCCTGCACGCTCATTGTTCTGAAAAAGCGAATCATCTCAGTAAAGAGGAGTAACGATCCAGATGAAAATCTACAGAATAATACCAATTTCACTTATAAAACTGTTTAAAAGTCACAAGAACTACTATTAACTATTGTTGAACGCTTTTGCTAATGTAGTTGTGCAATTGAAAGTTTACGTTCCTGTTTAACCTCACTCAGCCCTAAAATATTTATTAATCTGCTTTATAATATTAGTGTATTGAAATAAAATATTAACACAGTAAGTCTTAGTAAATTTGAATTTAAGAATAATTGTCTTATTCTTAAATTCATGTAGTTTTGCTAATAATTAATCAGTATTTTGTTTTTTTAATATGAAATTTTTTGTTTTTACATTTTCATTTGTTTTAACGTCGGCATTGACTGGAAAAGTCAACAAAGGATAAAACTAAAATAAATAAATATGTGGCTGTTCTATTAATTTCATTAGCAAAAAAATTGTATTGACATCACACCAGCATTGGCATTTTGTCAATGAAGAAGAAATGTTCCCACACGACTTTCGCTTTTTAATGCAAATTTGATTACCCTCATTAAAGCAAACTAGCGCACCCAGCAAACTGCGTCGAAATTATATCTTCCTGAACGTAAAAAGTAATGATCACCTCATTTGCGGGAAAATTTTCTAGTGCAATGCGGCGGTGATTGCGCGGACTTTCAATTTCACTTAACTCCATGCATGTGCGCATGTAAACGAAAATTTCTAAATTAAAAATAATACATACATATACAAACCACGCGCACGACACCAAATAGAAATCAATAATTACGCCGGTGGCGCTGGCGTATTAAAAGACGACGTTCTTTCTTTCTCGTGTCGGCGATAAAACAGCAAATAAAAGTGCGCGCCATAAGTGATCTCGAGGGCGATTAAATTAAAAAAAGAGCACAATGTGGGGGTGACGGTTGCCGAGAGATAAATTATTATACAGGCCACCTCTCTCTGCATTTGGAGAGAAATGCAAAGCCGGCGAAAACAATCCACCCAGCCACTCGGTGCCCCAGATATGTACCCTCGAAAAGTGCACGGCTCTCTTGAGCGTGCACACTCACAGGCAAAACCTGTTTGGGTGAAGGAAAAAAGTGTTGAGGGCGACGCCCAAGAGACGAACGGCGTAGTGAAGCGCACCAAAGAGAAACTAACTAAGTAAGAAGTTGGTTGGTTGGTGCTCTGCTCTCGACTTTATTTCGGTCCTTACCCGACTTGGATGTAATTGCCTATTTCCAATCACACTGCAGCATCGTCCACGTTAGTCCAATTAGACATCATTACTGGCAGTTTCTTATCCAAGCGGCGCCTCTCGATCGATCTGGAACACATGCACAAACATCGATTAGCTTTTTTTTTTAAGTTGTTGCTGCTTCTGGCGATTCGCCATCTCATTGTCGGAAAGTAATGAATGTGAGAGAGACAATGTGATCGTGTGGTTTCGAGTCTCATGGCGAGCGCAGATATCGCGAAAATCTGTATCATTAAGGACGTGCCCCTGATAAAATCGGGACATATAAGCGGCCCTGCTGAATCGCAAATTATGTGCTCCGGTCCAATGCCCGACGTTGTTTTGCAAAATGAAAAACTGTTCAGTTTCTAAAAGATGATTAGATTTTTTAGGTTAAAAAAGTCTAATAATACTTAATGAATTACCGCTCTCATGAAGGAAATGAAATGAAAAGAAGTTGAATTTGTATTAAATTGCTAGCTGTTGCGGTTTTTTCCTTGCATTAGCTTTTAAGGGAATTGGTGTCAGCCATCGGTAGTGTATCTCACAAAGAGCAGAAGTATGCACTTCCAGCGGGTATTGTGCTTTGGGTGAGCACGGCGGACAAAGGTTAATTATTCGATGTTAGAGGTCAGCGTTTCGAGCCATCAACTTCACGCTCGAGGAGATACAAATGCAAATCTTTATGGTTGATCGCCCTCATTTGAGATCACGGACAAAGGGGGCAATGAGAGGTAAAAAAATCACGTCATGAAAGTGATGCGTCACATTTTGAACCGCAGTCACTTTCAAAGCTTGAGTTATAAATCAGAGTCTTGTTCACTATTACAAAAATTTAAAGACAAAATATTTAAAATATAATTAAATTTAAAAAATAATTACACCAAAAACAGTTTTTTACCAGCGAACTTGCTCCGTTTGGCGGTGTCTTGTGACAAGAAAAGTGGCGGCAAACAATTTCAGCCCTTGCCTGACGCCTCACTCACGTGATGCAAATTTAGGGCACACCCCTCTCATTCTCATTTTCCCTATACTCGCCAACTCTCCAATTAACCGCGTTCGAGCACCTGCTCCCTTCTTTCCTAAAAGCACCGCGCTCAGCACCAATAAATTAGGACATTACATTAATTCGATCGATTTCCCGGCTCGCAAAGGCAACTCATTTCGGCGCCAACACACACATTTCCTACTGATCGCACTCCTTGATCCGCAATTTATTGGTTTCCATTGAGAGCACCGCTGAGGAAGAGCAGGATTGCAAACAAATTCCGTCTGAAAAGTCGGTGCTTGGCACGGACGGCGCCTCGGGCGGCGCGAAAAGCACATTGGCAGAGAGCGAGGGCGAAAAGCAGGTCGATATTGCAGCCTAGGCTTGAGTGTCGGTTTATCCGCCCTTCTCCGCAGCATCTATGCAGCCCGCCGTTGCCGAGCGGCAGAGCAACAAGTCCAGTGACCCTGACCTTGCCCTTGCAATTTGCATCCCCGTTGCTTTTCTCCGCGGCCCAGCCAACTCTCAGCTGGCGAGAGCAATGATAATTGCTGGCAAGCAAAGATGAACATATAATGTATAATGACCTCGTCTCCTTGTGCATTTTTCATCGGCAGCTCCTTTTTGCGCGGCGCAGATGATTGTAATTTATGTGGGAAAAGCGGCGAGCAACTTCTTCAAGTGCAAGATTAATTAGGAAATTGTTGCGGCGCCGCTTATGGCTCGGCAGCCGATGGATTGGTCAATAAAAATAGATGAGTGAGCGGCTCTTCAAGTTGCAATTCTCGAGTGTGTGAAGAGAAATGAGTGCGCAAGTGCCCACTTGAGCAGTGCCTCGTAAATACTTTCAAGGAAAAAATTGTGTTACTGTATCACTTGTCGCTAAAAGTTATACAGTCATATTATTGTATTATTGGAAATCGTTATTGATTAATGTTTCAAGGGAGGTGCAAAAGTTTATCCACACATATTTTTTTTTTAAGATATTTATTGATTCTAATAGCACTAGTCCAGCCAAGCCAGAAGACTTATCGGCTGGTGCTATAGGTATTGACGTATAATGCTGATTTCATATCTCGTTTTTATGAATTATTAATAATAATTTTAAACTGTTGTTAATAGCAACAACGAAATATATTTTAATTTTATATATCTGACTGGTCTATTCTGGATGTCATCTACAATTTATACCATTATTTGACAAAAATTTTAATATAGAATCTATTCATAACAAATTAAATTGAAATTAGTCAAATAATATTAGGATAGGATAAAAGCAAAAAATTTATTTAAGTGAAATAATTAAATAATATAAGAATTAAAAAATTAAAAGTGGTAAACACATTTGAACGTTTAAAATTAAAATTTAATTTTGAATAGAAGCATGCTTTTTTAGTTATGATATTATTTATTCTCCTGCTAAGTTGAACACTTGATGTATTTAATAAAATTTTCCATCTAATATTTTTTGAAATTTACCAGATTATAAATAATTCGCATTAATTTAAATTCTCTAAAGAAGCGCCTACAGTTTATGAGCATTTGGATATTATAATGCTTAACAATGATTTTATTTTCAATGTATTTATCCAATTTATTTTATTAACTTGATCCATCTTTGGTCTAAGTAATAAACCATCTGCGTTTCATAAGCAATTTAACATTAAATGAAATTTGTGTCTTTCCAATGTTAAATCTGTAGGCGGCTAATCCGCCAGCGTCTACGAACAAAAGCGTCATTACTGTGCAAACGCAGAGACAAAACGTCGCGATTCTTATCAAGAGCTTGAACAAAGAAAGTTTTTTTATTTCACTTCCAACAAAACGCAACTGTCCGAGGAAAATAGATCAAACAACTCGAGATGCGTAGAAAAGAAATCTCGAACGCAGCTTTTCCCCAAAAACAATGGCACATTACGGCCATGCCGACAATTTGAATATAAAAACCAATCTCGCCCGCTGCGTGACGCCTTCGCAAACAGAACCATCTGTCAAAGGGCGCACGAGACGCGAAAGATCAAAAGAGGTTGCGATATTAGAAATTTCTCATTAGCCAGATAACCTATTTGCATCGTGATTTTTTTTCTGTAAATAAACGCTTGGTTGACAGCGCGGAATAGAGATATGCGGGGATGGATCTCCACCTTGTGCGCGCGTCTCTCGGTTGCGCAAATGCACACAGACGGAGTCAGCGCCTTTGTGTTCCGTGAGACAAATTAAATCACCAAAAGGTTCACCATTTCATTTCAGGCGTGAAAAGCAAGCTAGCTGCTAGTTGGTTGGCCGGTCGAAAAGTCTTTCAAAAAATACCACGATTTTCTCGCCGAGGAAACGGATCGGACAAACAGAGAGGAAATGAAGTTAGAACGAAAAAATAAATACTCTGAAGCTCACTGCTTGTACACGGCTAATTGAGTTTAATTAGGTAATTGCACTTTTCCTCCAAGAATTTCTTTGAAATGAGCGACGCTAAGAATTAAACCAATTTAAATTCACAATAAAATTAGAGCAATAGTATATTTTATCTAATAAATATCGCGCTCTGAAATTGATTTGAGTATAAAAACCGAGGCCAAACCACATGCCTCTTTCCCCCAAGGATCATTTTTCATCAAATCAATTTGTGAGTTTCGTTTATGGACCATTATGAAAGCTTTCTTTCAATTTCCTCAATAAATTTAATCAAATGAAATTTTCATGCTAATTTAGTGAAACCCATCAGCTATTATTTTTTGCCCATTAAAAAGCGAATGGGCACGATGCAAAAAATTAGTATGACTCACTCTCTGCCCCGCATGCTGGATAGCTCGCAGGCCAATCTGTGGGCAACTAAAATCGACTACTGGAAAGGGCCGTGAATCACAGGCGCGCTCACACCGCACCGAGGCAAATACAACAAACGCAGCAGCACACATTTTCATCGTTTCGCAAGTCGACAGGGGATTGCAGCTATGCGTTCACGTGACAATTAAAAAGTAAACGTTCCGTTGCTAAATGCCTTGTAAAGAAACCTTTGCGTGGTCGAGTTTAATATTATAATTCACGCCGGAGAATGTGATATAGCGGGTGGAGTCTCACTGTTCTTTTTCTCTGTGCGGATTATTAAAAGTAGATCTTGGTCAGAAGTGTTGAATAAGGATTTCCCTAGTTTGCTACACTTTCTGTGCAGCTAGTCAAGGTCGGTGGGAACAGGTTGCAATTAACTGCGTGCATCTTAATCAACAAAAGAAAAAGTTTTATTTGCAAAAAAAAAAATCGTTTTTAATAAACTCTTGTCTGTCATTTTCTAAATTTAAAAATAGAGTTGTATTAATTAAAAAAAAGTTAAAGATTTCAAGGAAGTCGCGGATTTGAAATAAAAATTTTTTAAAAGAATATTAAGAAATAAGAATAAAAATTATAAGAAATAGGCAAATAAATTGTATGAGTGCAGGATTTAAAAATGATTTAGAACAATAAGTGATTACCCTATCAAACACTGAGATCCTTGATGTGTGGGTGAATAATTTTAAAAATTAAAATTCAATGATGGTGGATATTAATGAAGACAAAACAAAGAACAGGAAGTCGGACCAGTATCAGTTAAATAATAAACTCTACAGGCCGTTAATGTTCTCCATTTAATAGAATAAATTTAAATAATTTAAGAACTTAAAAATCAGCAAATTAAGACATTTAAAAATTCTAAAAAATTGATTAATTCTGTCCATCATAAATTTAGCCATACCACATAATAAATATAATCTGCTCTGACCTCCATTCTCAAATTATTATGGCCACGTCCAAACAAAAACCGCGCTTTGCCAGAGTCACTCAAAGTAATCGTAATTAGCCAACTGCTATTTGTGCCGAGCAGCAAATATTACAATAATCATCTGCAGGACGTGCTCGCAGTGTAAAATACACACGCTTTCCTGCTTGCCACGCGCACGCTGACGTACGGATCCTATACACATGTTTATTTTCTTTGTTCCGGTTCGCGTCTAAAAGTTCTCATGGGTCTCTGGCTAAGTCTGCCGCGGCAAAGGCATCTGCAGCCGTTTCTGCACTACAAATTGGCGCGATACACATATTCGGCGCCGGCGATGCACTTCTTTTCGTA